GAGGGTCGGCCCGTCGGCGCGGGTCCCGCGCGGCCGGGCCCCGAGCGGGGGCCCCGGTCGGGGAGAGGCAGGGCCCCGGGCGGGGCGCGGCCGAGATCGGCGTCTCGAGGAGGAAAAAGTCCAGGCTGCAGTCGGGGCCCGGAAGGGCTCCTGGAGGGCCCTTCTCGGGGGCCTGTGCTGGCTCCAGAAGGGGCCCTCGCAGGCGGTCCCTTTCAGGGCCCTCTTCCCCCCATCCAGGTTCCAGGCGGGCCTGTCCCTCGACCGGAGGAACAGTCAGGAATCGGCCACGATTTTTTTAATTAGTTGTTGACTAGTGTTGGTCCTGTGTTGACCCTTTCTTCATCGTTCGTCAACAATCCGCCCGCAGGAGGATATGCCCGACCTAAGTCTAGGCTTCAGTCGCGGCCTGAAAGGGCTCTCTTGAATGGCCCTGTTTGGGCCCCTGCTGGCTCCAGAAGGGGCCCTCGAAGGCGCCCTTGAGGGCCCTCTCCCCCCCCATCCAGGTCACCCCCCCCTTCGCCACCCGCCCGAGTAAGGGGAGTGAAGACGAGGGCCCTCGAGAGGTCCTTCAGGGCCTTTTTGAAGGCCGCTGCCGGCTCCAGAGGGGCCCAAACGGGCCCCTGCAGGGCCCCATTCCCCTTATGCAGGCCACCCCCCCTGACCAGGAAGTCGGGCATGCCCCTCTACAAGAGGAGCACTCAAGAGTGGTAAAACTGAATAGTCTGGTGACGACTTTTCGTGTTGTTTGATTACAAGTGGTTATGTGTTGATTATGTTTTCTTGCTCTGCACAAAATCTGCATGTAGGAGGACATGCCCGACCGAAGTCTTGCCCTCCTAGATAGGGTCCGAGTAGATGGGGTCGGAGGATCGCGCCGCATCGCCGATGCATCGGCGATGCGGCTCGATGCGGAGCCCGATTTTATCCACGCCGACGTCGCTGATGCATTGCCGACGTCGCCGATGCATCGGCGACGGATCGGCGATACATCGGCGAGGCATTGGCGATGCGGCGCGATCCTTCGACCCCATCTACTCGGACCCCATCTAGGAGGCCTCTAAAAAGGTACACGCCTGTCGTTGGAACTAGGTACTTCTTGTTTCCGAGATCCCAATTTACTTCGAGCGATGTCCTGCTTTATGACTCGATATGGGTTTGTTGTTTAATTGTTTGCCATTATTTCGGCGGGCTCGAACTGATGCCTTCCTACTGCATGTTTACACGTACATCTTCCGACTGGCGGGTCCAGCTATTGTTCGTTCATCTTCGCTTTATTGGGCCGCCTGGGAGGCCCTCGCCGCCACCGCTGAATTCGCTTCGCAATTCTGGTCAGAACGCACCCCGGGGAGAGATCCCAGGAGTAGCGGGATCGGTAACTGTGGGTTTCTCCATGCACGCAAGAGAGACCGTTCGCCGAAGTGATTGTTGGTGCGGGCACATTGTGGATCCACAGATGGCTGAGTGCCATGCGATAGCATTAAGTCGGGCTTGTCCCTCTACAGGGGGAATAGTCAACAAATAATCAAAAAAATAATCAGGAGACTATTGCTTGACTATTGTTGGGTATCTTTTGAACATGTTTCGATTTTGTTATTATTTTTCATCCGAGATCCCCCTGTAGGGGGACAGGCCCGACCTAACGATAGCAGCGGCTTGCGCGCTCGAATCGGGCCTCCCCCGCCCCCCCCCGAGACAGCCGCGCATCCCAAGGCTCGGTCCCTGCCCGGGGGGTCACCCTCTCGCGCGCCGCCGACGAGAGGCCCGAGAATTGCGCGTACTCGGGGTGCGACGTGACGAGCGGGTCTGGGCGCGGCATCGTGATCCGCACGGGCATGGAGACGGAGGCCCCGTCGTCGTCGTCGTCGTCGTCGTCGTCGTCGTCGTCGTCGTCGTCGTCGTCGTCGTCGTCGTCGTCGTCGTCGTCATTGCCCTCGATGCTGTAGGGGGAGGGGACGGGGGGGAAAGAGGGGGGGGCAGGAGGGAGGGGGAAGGAGGACGAGAAGGAGGAGGAGAGATGTCCGTAGCCGCTTCGGCCCACGCCGAAAATCCCTTTCGCCAATTCTACGGCGGCGAGCGAGGGGGGGAAGTGAGAAGGAGGAGGCTTTCTCAGAAGGTTCGGAAATCCCCCGGCCTTCTGCGAAGTTGTCTGAGCCTTCCCCGAAGATGAAAAGCTTCTCAGAAGGCGCGAGGGCTTCTAAGAAGTCCCGCTGCCTTCTGAGTAGGCCTTCTCCTTCACGTTTCCCCTTCTCGGTCGCCGCCAAGTTCTACACGAGTTCTTCCTCATCCTCGTCCTTTTCCTCATCCTCTTAGGCCCAGGGCGTATCACGCAAGTGGCCCCCCACCGGCCACGCCTCGGGGGGGGGCGGGCTCCTGGCGTGAGGTCCGCGTCGTCCACTACGGGGGGGCGGTGGGTCAAGAAATGTGCCCCAGGAGGCTTCAGACCTTGGCGGGTTCCTTATCCAACTCCCACTCCAACTGCTCCCCCTCCTCCTCCTCCTCATCCTCCTCCTCCTCCTCCTCCTCCCTCCTCCTCCTCCTCCTCCTCCTCCTCCTCCTCCTCCTCCTCCTCCTCCTCCTCCTCCTCCTCCTCCTCCTCATTCTCCTCCTCCTCCTCCTCCTCCTCTTCCTCCTCCTCCTCCTCCTCCTCCTCCTCCTCCTCCTCCTCCTCCTCCTCCGCCTCCTCTTCCTCCTCCTCCTCCTACTCCTCCTCCTCCTCCTCCTCCTCCTCCTCCTCCTCCTCCTACTCCTCCTCCTCCTCCCTCTCCTGCCCTTCTCTCCGTTCCCTCTCTTCCCTCCCTCCACGGCGGCGGCGGCGATATCGACAATGGCGAGACCAGCCAGAGGGGCTGGGCTGGGTCGGTCCTCCCCCCCTTCTTCCATCCCTCTCGAGGTCGGTTCGGGGAGGGTGCCCTGATGTTCGTCGTGATTGTTGGACGTTCTGGTGCATTATGTGGGAAGGCACCCTCGAGTGATCGTATGGTTGGGGGTGGTTAGGCCGGCGGAGGGGCTCAGGTTTTTGAAGGATGGGTTTCTGCCCCTGGTCCGGCTGTACAAATGACGTCCTGCTCCAGTTTCGCATCCCACATCTCGCTAAGCAGCGCCAAAGCCCGCCTTCAAGAAGACCCAAAAGGCAGCCAAGACAGCCCAGGATGGTCCCGATTGCTGCCCAAAACGGGCCAACATGGTCCGCAAAGCGCCCAAAACTGCCCGAGAGGACCTTCAGGGAGGCCCAGCGCGACCCCACTGCTCGCCCTTCTTGCACGCGTTGATCCCAGCGTTGTAGCTGACGGCATCGGGCTCCACCTTCGCCTCCGACATATCGCTGAGCCGCACCAAATCCCGCCACCACTGCCCGCCCTTGTCACACGCGCTGATCCCAGCACTGTAGCTGACAGAACTGTAGTACAGATGACGTCGGGCTCTGCCATCGCCTCCCACATGTCGCTAAACAGCGCCAAAGCCCGCTGCCACTGCTCGCATGTTGCACAGGCGCTGATCCCAGCGCTATGGCTGATGACGTTGGGTTCTGTCCTCGACTCCCCCATGTCACTGAGCAAAGCCCGCCGCCACTGCTCGCCCTTCTCGCATGCGCTGATCGCGGCGTTGTAGCTGATGTCGTTGGGCTGCACCTGTGCCTCCCACATCTCGCTGAGCAGCGCCCACATGCCCGCTGCCATTTTGCCGCACTTCCCGCAGACGCTGCCAGCCGCAGCACAGCGTCCTGGGTTGAGCGTCTGCGAGGGGGCACGAGGGATGAGGGGGGAGGGAGGAGGGAGGAGGGATGACCAGGCCCCCGACGTCGTGATTTGTTCACAACGTCGACGACTGGCTTTTCGTCCTGAGCTGTTGTTGAACTGTCCCGAGGCCCTGGAAGGGCCCCCAGAGGCCGAAAATGGCGAAAACCATTCGTCGCGATGTTTGTCACAACTCGAGGGGGTCTGGGTGGAGGAAGGAGGAAGTAGGGGGCGGAGGAGGGGGGAGGAGGGAGGAGAGAGGAGGGGGGAGGGGGGAGGGAGGAGGGAAGAGGGGTGGAGGGGTGGAGGGAAGAGGAGGGGGGAGGGAGGAGGGAGGGGGGTTGGAGGAGGGAGGGGGGAGGGAGGAGGGATGAGGGATGGAGGGATGGAGGGAGGGAGGAGGAGGGAGGGGAAGGAGGAGGGAGGGGGAGGGAGGAGGGAGGGAGGGAGGGACCCCACACCCCACTGCGGTGGGAGGCTGCGGGGAGCGCCGCTGCCGACGGGACGGTTGCGGTCCGCTCGAGAGGCCGTATCTCGTCCTGGCCCGCCGCGGCCCGCCAGGTCGGCAAGATCGCTGGGATGCTGACCGACGGCGGCGAGGCCCCCGGCCCCCCGCGCAAGCCTCCTGCGCTTGCGTCGGGCAACGAGACCCGTTTTCCTCCTCCTCCTCCTCCTACTCCTACTCCTCCTCCTCCTCCTCCTCCTCCTCCTCCTCCTCCTCCTCCTCCTCCTCCTCCTCCTCCTCCTCGTTTTCCTCCTCCTCCGCCTCCTGCGCCTCCTGCGCCTGCGTCGCGCGACGAGAACCATGGCGCGCACACACTTTGTCCGTCGCAGCGCGGCAGAGGCAATCTGCACGCGCGCTAAAGTATTAAGCCGGGCATGTCTCTCTACAGGAGGAATACTCGAGAATGGCTTCAAAATAGTCGGGGGGCGATCTGCTCTTGTTTTTTGCTATTATGTGTATGTTTGGCCATGAGTGTTCCATTATTCCAAAACCCGCCTGAAGGAGGACATGCCCGACCTAACGCCTGCGTCGGGCGGCGAGAACCATGCGCGCACACATGTTTTCCGTCGCGGGGGCCCTCTGCACGCGCGCGCAAGTAGGCCCGGCGCACGGGGGGCACGAACTTTCCGGCGGCGCGAGAGGGGAAGGAATAGGCGGAAGGCGGCCGCGGGGGGTGGAATCGATTAGGCGTAAGAGTGACCTTTCGCCGGAGTGACTTTTGGTGCGGGCACAGATGGGCCCAGATGGCCGAAAGAGGAGCGGTGGCAGCGGCTTGCGCGCTTGTTTTTGGCCCCCCCGCGGTCCCAAAAAGCCGCGCACCAAATGTCATTCTTACCCAGGGTCACTCTTGTGTGTAGCTGATGGAAGGAGGGGAGGCATTCACAGCGCGATGAACATGCGCACACACACACACACACACACACACACACATTGGGTGTTGCTAGAAGTGCCCATGGCCCAAGGTGCCCCCAGCTTTTCGATCCATTCTGGAGCCCCTGGGGTCCTCTGGGGCTCGTGAGGGGTACCCTGGAGGCCTCCTGGGCCACCCCGAGAATCCTGGGGGTACCTTGGGCCAGGGGTACTTCTAGCAACACCCGAACACACACACACACACGCACACACACACACACACAAACAAAAAAAGCACACACACACACACACACACACACTTGGTGATCGCGGCCACGCGCGCAGCGTCGAGGCGGAGAAAAGCAGACGATCCGAAGCCCGAGCGGGCGCGCTTGGTGTACTTACCCATGCCGCTGCGCTTCCCTCGTTTCCGCCTCTGGGGGGGGCCTCCCGGGAGGCCCTCGTCGCCATCGCTGGATGCGCCTCGAGGTTCTGCGGCGAGGTGGCGGCACCGTCGCGGAGCGCTGAGCCGGGACACGCTCAGGCGAATTGGTACCTCTGGCGTAAGGAGATGGGCGGCCTGGACAGAGGCCTTCGCCTGCAGAACAACAACAACGACAACGCAAACAGAAAAGCTGCGCTGGGCGAGCGCGTGTGTAAGGCAATCCAACAGCACATGCAGGTCGCGCAAGAGAGGGTGAAAACTAGGACTGCGGGAAGGGTCCACACACACTTCCTCCTCCTCCTCCTCCTCCTCCTCCTCCTCCTCCTCCTTCTCCTCCTCCTCCTCCTCCTCCTCCTCCTCCTCCTCCTCCTCCTCCTTCTCCTACTCAGCCGCTCTGGCACTGGCGCTGATACTCGGCCTGAGCTTGCTGCCACAATTCTTCAGCACGGCCTGGGGAAAACGGCGGGCTCGAGGACCCGTTGCGCTCCTTTGTGCTCTCTTCTCATCCTGCTGTGCGTTGTGCAGGCACGGGGGCAGAGGGTAAGTTGCGCAAAGACTGGTTCAGCAAGGATTGGGCCCACCTCAAGAGCAGCAAAAGCCGCTCATCAACTCGGGCTCGAACGTGCACTGCTTCCGACGCAAGATGCACAAGAAGGACGTGTTCCGTGGCAGTGTGGAGGCCAGCGTACCCTCGGTGCGCAAGCCTCGCAGTGAATGAATTGTTGTGGCGGAGCAGCAACCAGGATGGCAGCCCGGTGGCTACCAGAAGCTTCGTGAGAAATTGCAGAATGAGTTTGCCCAACTTCGCAAGGGGAGGGGTATCGGGAAGAAGGACGTTGCCCATGACATGGAGGTTGATGCTGCCTCACCTGCTGCTGGTACTGGGATGCATAACTCGGGTGATGGCAAGCAGGCCAAGCGGCTTGCTTATATCAGAGAGTTAGAGGCGAACCTGGAGGCGATCATGTCGCTGGAGTCCGCGTGGGCAGCCGAACAGAAGACGAGCCTCAAGACCAGTCTTGAGAAGCTACGTCTCGAGGTTCATGATGCTACGCCGCTGCATGATCAAGCTCATGTGCTGGCTAACCGAGTACGCGCGCAGAAGATCAAGACAAGCTGCAGACCAAGCTCGCGGAGGCCAGAATTCGGCCGACAAGGCGAAAGATGCGCAGAATGATGCCCAGCTGGCGGCTGACAAGGCTAGCAGCGTGTTGTTGGACTTGGGAATGCAGTCGGGCATGGTCTCAGCCCGCTGAAGCAAGTGGTGCACCAGCGGAAGCAACAGCGCTGGGGATTTCTATTGACTAGGTGGGCGAATTGGTTTCTAAGGCGACAGAAGGACAGCAGTGCTCTAAGGCGGCCTTGGAAAAGATGACCATTGGATTGGGAGGTGCTCTGCGGGAACTCGCGGCAGCGTCTGCTGCTCGACCCAGGGCACCAATTCAGCAACCACCTGGTGGAGCAGGGCAGGCTCGTCTGCGGGATCAACCTCACCAGCACCACCAACACCCTGGAAACCCGACGACGACAGGACGGAGCACTTGCGCAGATCATTTAAAGTATTGGGGCCACTTCAAGGTGCCGATGCGGAGCTTCGCACTCGGGCTGGGAAGCCAGCGGCAGGAGGCTTCAACCCCAAAATGATGGCCAGCGCAAATCAGTTCTATTAGACTGGCTCTGGTGTTGGTAATTTGTACATATCTATAGGCATACATATATACATATATATATATATATAAAGATTGGCATCATGACGAAGGCCAAGGGCACTGTAACCACAGCTAACATCACTTCTTGGGGTTCCTTGGAAACGCTGTTGGAGACTTTGGATGGCAATGTGTCAGTGCTGTTGTTCCGGGAACATCATCGTGATGGCACTATTGGAGATATTCAGTATCAGATACGAGATCACGAATACGATTGAGTTTGGTCGCGTGCGATTCCCTCAGGAGCGGGCGACGGCACGTTTGGAGGTGGTGCAGCATGGGCTCGGACTGATATACCTGTCACGGCACCTCCTCTCCTCGAGTCGGCAGTGTTGACGCCGGGCAGACTCTCGGCAGCGCACGTGCATTGGGGCGCGCGCGGCGGCATCGTGGTTCCCAGCATCTACCTGCAGGATTCGGGAGGCGTGAGCGACGGCAATAAGAATGCCATCTGGAGTTTGGCGCAGCATGCTGCTGAGCTCGAGGCGGCGCAGATAGATTGGATCGCGGCTGGCGACGTTAACGCGCCCGACGACGAGTTCCAGGCACTTCGGCTGCACCACATGAACGGCATTACGTTGGCTCCTACAGAGGCGACGCGCAGACCCGCCAAGGCGGGGCAGCTCAAGGCATTAAATTATTTCTTGGCGTCGGCTAATCTTGCTGCTCGAGTTTCCGCGGCCCGCGAAGCCGGCGCCGCTGCGCCGCGCCCGCCCGTGCATCTACCGTTATTTGCCGAGGGCGTTGATCTCGAGGCGCGCGCGGCCATCGAGCCAAGGAGGCCCCCGTCGGCCCATTTACCTGGACGCGCGCGAGCTCGAGCTGACTGGCGAGAGCTAGCGTTCAAAGTCGAGCAAGCGCAGGGCGCCGGCGGCTGGGCCTCGGCGCGGGACAGCGCTACCAGGGCCATCGAGAGCGAGCTCTTCGACAGATACGACATCGCAGGCAGTTCTGCACAGCACAGCGCGTCGAGATCTGGCGAGCCAAAGTTCGCGATGGCGAAGCAGGCATGGACCCCTCCAGCGCGGCGGCCACGTCTAGGAAGCACAGCCCTGGACTACATGGCGGCAGCGCGACGGGCTACACACTCAGTGGAAGCCCACGCGCACGTCGAGCGTAGCGCCAGGGAGCTGTTTGTGAGAAAATGCCGCAATGAGCTAGAGCGTTTGCTTTATTTCAAGTTGGCGAATTTTCTTTTTGAAGTGGATCGATATTTTGACGAAGGCAAGGGGCATGAGGACATTGCCGAGCTCGAGCCCTGGGCGCGCGAATTCTGCGACCAGAGGCCGGAGGTCTTTCTGATGCCCGATTTTGTCGAGCTGGCTGCCGACGTTGCGGAGTTCCGCGAGCGGAAGTTCGAGTCGGCATTGGATCACAAGCATAGCGCGCGGCAGAAAGCGGCGCGCGGGTTTTTTGCCCACGGGGCGAAGATGGCGCATCCGGTCACCAAGCTACGGGATTCGCATGGGGCGATTGCGCCTTGGGAGGACATCACCGCGCGAGTCATTCCGACGGTGCTGCGCGATCGAGAGGTGGATGGCCGGTGCAAGATACGGCGCCACCATGCAGCTAGCCAATTGCACCGACCTGCTGACTTTCACGATTGGCCGAATGTGCCCACCATCCCCCTTGAGATGATGACCGAGACGATCATGTCTTAGCCACCCCCTACGGCGGCCCCGCCAAGTGCCATTGCCACGAGAGCGTTGGTTCATATATCTTAGTTGGGTCGACTAGTACTTGCGAGGCTTGATTGAGCAGTACGAGCGTTCTGGAGCATGGCCCGAGTCGCGAATTTGAAATGGGGTGGTCCGAATTCCGAAGGCATCGGGCGGCAACAGATTGATCGCGCTCACGGATGGCTCTCTCAGATAGTAGTCGAGGGTGCGATCGCCGATCACGTCGAGTTGTTCGGCAGACAGTCCGTCTTCTGATATATGGGGCGCGGGAGGAGCCAGGTCTTCTTCTGACTCGGCCTGGGCTCAACCTGGAGGCCGAGGTCGCAGGAGCGCTCAGTAAACGCGCCGTTGCCGCCGTCGCGGATGATTGGACATGCTTCGAGCCCATCTTGAGGGAGGCGCTGTTCGATAGAACCAGGAAGGTGAGGTGCAGCTTGAGGCTGCTCGGGATGCTGTGCCAATGTGATTCGTTACATCGGCTTCTGCAGGCACAGGATTCTCGCGGTTACTCGATTGTACTAGCTCAAGGTACCCATGCTGGCTGTTCGAGCGCCTGAGGAAACACGTCTGCGCTGCCCACTCGGTTGCTCGATCGTATCAGAAGGCCGGCAGTGGCATTGCGTGCTCTCACTGACGGCATATCTTCGCAGTGGACAAGTACCAGTTTGAAGAGCATGTCTGTGCTAGGGCAGGAGGTGGCAGAGTTCAAGGCGGAAGTTGCCATGCTTGGCCTCATCATTCAACCGGATAAGTCAGGCTTCGTTGCGTCGCCGCGAACGGCCAAGCTCAAGGCCAAGAAGCACCCAGGCGCAATTGGATTGCAGGCGCGTCAGGCGATTCGGAACCTGGGGCACGACCAACACGGAGGCGGTGCACACAGGGTTCAAGCTCGCGCGCGCCTCAAGAAGCTTCTCAGCAGGAAGGCCAAGGTCCTCGTGCTCAAGCGAATTGTCGGAGCGCTTGTGGGTTATGTATTCAGGACTGGGCTGCTGCCCCCGGCGGCTCATGGCGCTGGAGCTTCGGGGGTCACTAGGGAGGTTCTCAACGTTACGTGACACAGCCGGTCTGCTCATTGGCTCCAAGAATGCGCATTCGTCATTCTCGCTGCATTCGGCAACGCAGTCGTCGGTGGAGCACGATCCAATCTACATGACCAATCGCGACATTGTTGCACGATGCTGCAGCTGGATATGGGGCGCATGCCCCTCAGCAGGCTTCACCACGCATGGACTTCAATTACGACCAAGTAGTTTCGCGACTCCAGATGGGCCCATGTCAAGGCGCCGCTTGGGGCTGTGACTCGTAATATTTGGCGTACTGCGTGGGCAATGTATTCCTCAACTACGTTGGTCACGGACCAAGAAAAGTAGATTCCCCTGCCCCCCCCCCCCCCTGCTCCGAAGGACGTTCGGATGTTGCGTTGCCAGGGTGTTCAGCGTTGGCAGTGCAAGCACATCAGAAGTCGTGTTCAGCATTTGCTGGGAGCCGAGATCACTATTTGGTTTCGGGCTCAACGGGTTCGCATGGGCGACGAGGAGGCAGCGGTCACATCAGGAGCTGCCGCTGCCTCTTTACGAGCTCATTAGTCATGCAGAACTTTGACGCAGTACGATCGCGATCGAGCTGGACTGGCACAGCACGCTCAGAGTTGCAAGTGCGGGACAGAACACGGCACTGATTGGGGCTATGTTTATCCATGTGACAAGCGTCTGCTGCCACAAGATGAGGTAGAGGAGCAGGATGGAGTGCTGCCTGAAGCGGTTCAATAGATTCGTCAATGTATGTATGACCAAGGCTTGCGAGCGGTGGAGCCACACTGGGATGCCTTGGAGGTGGAGGTTGCGATTCCTGTGATTCCATAGGCTATTCCTAAAATGGTTTCACGGTCAGATTATACGCTCTGGGGCGACTGGACTTCGGACTGGTCGAGCTGGCGCAACATTACGTTCACGAATGGGTCGGTGAAAGTATGGCAAATATTTAAGGCGAGCGTGCGCGGCGCTAAGGCGAGAGCCACATGTTGATAGCTACCCGCCATCAGTGTGTGAAACTCCTGCATTTGTTAACACGGATGTGCGCGGCGCTGGGGCGAGAGCCACATTTTGAATAACACCCGCCCTCAATTCGTGAAACCATCGCAAATGTTTAACACGAGTGCGCGCGGCGCTAAGGCGAGGGTCACATTTTGAAATCCACCCGCCCTCAATCCACGAAGCTCTTGTGAACCGTTAAAAAGGACATGCGCGGCGCTAGGGCGAGAGACACATTTTGAAAAGGAACCGCCCTCAATCCTTGAAACGATTGCAAGTGTTTAAAACGAATGTGCGTTGCGCTGAAAAGACTAGAGCCACATTGTGAAAACGGCGCGCCCTCAATCCGTAAAACAGTTGCAGAAACGTTAACACGAATGTGCGCGGCGCAAAGTCGAGAGCCACGTTTTGAAAACCGCCCGTCCTCAATGTGTGAAACTGGTGCCAACGTGTAAGTTTCAGGGTCATAAGTGGTGAGCAGGCAATTGGTGCCAACAGTGAAGTTTCAGGGTCATAAACGGTGAGCAGGTCTCAGGCGCAACGCCCGGCCCGCCCTTTCGACCTGCCTCGGGGTGCGACAGGGAGACGTTGTTTATACGGAAAAGTGGAGGAGGAGGAGGAGGAGGAGGGGGAGGAGGAGGGGGAGGAGGAGGAGGAGGAGAAGGAGGAGAGGAGGAGGAGGAGGAAGGGGAGGGGGAGGAGGAGGAGGAGGAGGAGGAGGAGGAGGGAGGAGGAGGAGGAGGAGAAGGAGGGAGCGAAGGAGGGAGGGGGAGGGAGTGAGGGAGGGAACGGCGGGGGGGGGGGGGCGGCAGGCGGCCGGACCCCCGACGTTGTGATTTTTGCTTGCAGCATGGACCCCCTGAAGGCCTCGACCCCTCCCTGGGAATTGTTACTTTTTTTCACCCTCAGCAAAGTCGAAACCGATGGTAAGGATGGGCTTCCCAGGGGTACGACTGTATCCTGGCCTCTTCGGTCCATCTTCAATCACTTTCGATGGCCAGCCCCGCTCGAAGACCTTCGGCACGGGCGTTAAAGGCCCTTGCGTCCTCATCGCACACCCTGATTATCCTTGTCGCGCATCCTTGCTCATCTTCGTCCTTCTGACGGCCCCGTGGGCGGTCACGAGGGCCCCCTCGGAGGCCGACGATTGCCACGGACCGTCCGCCGCGCTTGTCTCCCCACGGGCGCGAGGAGATCGGTAGGGGGGGGGGACGGGGGGCGCCCGAGGCAAAGAGCACCTGCTTCGGATTGCTGCCCGACACCGCCGGCAACCAGACCCCGCTGCAGGATCGGGCGTTACGCAATTGGGGGGGTGGTAGGTCAAGAGAGGAAAAAACACCCCGGCCCCGATAATTCGCGTTTGCTGAACGGCCCTGGGCGTTTACAGTCAACCCGCACAGCAAGGAGGAGCAACTCTCCAAGGTGACCCCTGCATCCTCGCCCCTTCGGCTCATCCTTGGCCGCCTTCGCTGGCCGCTCACCGCTCGCAGAGCGCCGACGTGGCCTTCCAAGGCCCTCGCATCCTTCTCGTGCGTCCTTACAGTTTGCCTTGGGCTTTCCTTAGGTCTTCGATGGGAAATCGAAGCTTAACTAATGGGGAAAAGGGGGCCTCGTTCCTTATTGAATCGCTTCGCTCATTCCGCCGGCCCGTGGGGGCCTCTTGGGGGCCTCTTGGGGCCTCCAAGAGGCCTCTTGGGGGCCTCTTAAAGCCTCTTGGGGGCCTCTTCGGGGCATCTTGGGGGCCACCTGAGGGCTCTTGGGGGCCCCCATTCGACTCCTTCCTCGGGTGCGTGGCCTCCGTGGGGCGCTCCCAGGCCGGGCCTCGCCCTCGAGGCTCGAAGGGGTCGTCGCCTCCTCCGCCTCGGCGGAGAGGGGCGGCGGCCACCGGCGGAGGCGGAGCGAGAGGCCGCCGCCCCGCCAGCGGAAGGCCGGCGGAGGCCGGGGCGGAAGCAGAAGATGCGCCCCCTCAGGGATTGGGGTGTCTCAACCTCTCGGCCAGACGTAAGAGTGACCCTTCGCCGGAGTGGCCTCTGGTGCGCGCTCACTGGGGTCCCCCGATCGCCGCGCTCGTTGCGATGGTAGCGTCCTGCGCACTTGTGTTTGGCCTCCTCGCGCCCCCCAGAAAGCCGCGCACCAAAGGTCACTCTTGCCCAGGGTCACTCTTACGTGCAGCCGAATCTACTTTCTAGCTTTAAGTCGGGCACGTCCCTCTGCAGGAGGAATACTCAAAAATAGTTTTCAAAAAAAGTCGGGGGACGACTGTTTGTCTATGTTTGAACATTTTGGCGCATTTGTTGGTCATCTCTTTCGTCCAAAATCCTCATGTAGGGCACACGCCCGACCTAATTCTAGCTGTGACCACCAGAACAAAATGTCGAGCGCCAAGAAAGTACCGAAGTTGGAGGGTTTTCACGCGTCGGGCCCCGGGAGGCGCTACTCGTTCGACGCTTCGCTGGCGTGTCGGGTAGACTTAGATACTGCTTCGATACTTTTCTGGGTGCTCGAAATCGTTCTAGGGATGTGGTCCGTAAGTACGATGGGAACCGAAGACATATTTTGGTTCAGGGTTTGCGGATTTTGCAACATGGGGGTCGAGGACAGGTGCACCTCTTGTGCCCTAAAGGGCCCCCCAGGGGGCCCAAGAGAAGCACGAGAGGTGCACGCTCTTCCCTCCCCCCCCCCCGCCCCACGCCCTCCCCCTCCCCCCCCTCCTCCTCCTCCTCCTCCTCCTCCTCCTCCTCCTCCTCCTCCTCCTCCTCCTCCTCCTCCTCCTCCTCCTCCTTCTCCTCTTCAAAGGGGCCCAAGAGAGGCACGGGAGGTGCGTGCTCTTCCCCCCCCATCCAGTCATCCCCCCCCCCCATGATCGGTGGTTCGAGGATGGGGTCCTGAGGACTGGAATCCCCGAGGGCGAGGTGCCTCAAACAACGTATACATCCACCCTTGAAGCCCTTCCTGTCCTTGGGCCCCCATCCCTCGGGATCCCATCCTAGAACCACCGATACCGGGGGGGCGATAGATGGATGGGGGGAGGGCGTGCACCTCTCGTGCCTCTCTTCGAACCGCTGACCTTGAACAAAGCCCAGCAGGAGTCGCTCCAGCGCCTGGGCATGAGGAGCGCGCTGGCCTCCCCGCCTTCGACCCCGCCCGGCGCCAGTCGTCGTCGTCGCCGTCGCCGCCGCCGCCGTTGTCGTTGTCGTCGTCGTCAGTCGTCGTCGTCGTCGTCAGTCGTCACCCTTCAGTCGTCAGTCCGCAGTCAACAGTCGTAGTCGTCGTCCGTTGTCCGTGTTGTCCGTCGTCCATTGTCCGTCGTCACCGTCGTCGGTCGTCGTCGTCGTCGTCGATCGTCGTCGTCGTCGTCGTCCGTCGTCATCGTCGTCGTCCGTCGTCGTCGTCGTCGTCCGTCGTCGTCGGTGGTCGTGGTCGTCGCCGTCGTCGTCGTCGGTCGTCGTCGCCGTCGTCGGTCGTCCGTCGTGCGTGGTCCTCGTTGGTCGTCAGTCGGCCGTCCGTTAGTCGTTCTCTGTCAGTCGTCCGTCGGCCGTCGGCCGTGGGCCCTCAGCCGTCGGTCGGCGTCGTCGTCGTCGTGATTCGGCCGTCCGCCGTCGTCGTCGTCGTCGTCGTCGTCGTCGTCGTCCCCAGTCCGTTATCGTCATCGAGTCGGTCGGTCGGTCGGTCGTCCTTGCCCTCGTCCTCCCCCGAGTGCAGGATCGGCTTCCTCGCCATCGTCGCGCGCTCGGAAGCCGGGCGCGGATCCTCCGACAGGGGCGCGAGTGAGGGAGGAGGACAAGGATAAGGGATGGAGGATGCGGGCATGAAAGGAAGGCGGTCCTGAGTTTGTTACGCTGTGTTCGGGCCGTCAGCCCCCCCCCCCCCCCCAGGCCACGAGACTGTCCAAGAACCAGTGAGGGTGAAGAGCTTGTCTTGGGGAACCCCCCGGAGTCCAGGACCCGTTTCCCTCAGGAGCCCGGTCTGTCATGTCGTGGATGAAGACGAGGCGGAGGTCATCATCCTGCTCCTCTTCGAGGGTTTTATTGTTCGGAGAGGGGTCGCGGGCTTTCGACTACTTTCGGATCTTTTTTGAGGGTTTCAGAGGCGCCTAGAGGGTTCCAGAAGGAGGGGAGAAGGGAGGAAGGAGGAATAGGACGAGGAGGAGGAGGAGGAGGAGAAGGAGGAGGAGGAGGAGAATGGGATGAAGGAGGAGGAGGACGAGGCGGAGAAGAAGGAGGAGGAAGGGGAGAGGAGGAGGAGGAGGTGGGAGGGAGGAGGGAGGAGAGAGAAGGAGGAGGAGGGAGGAGGGAGGAAAGAGAAGGAGGAGGAGGAGGAGGAGCAACAAAGGAGGAGGAGGAGGAGGAGGAGGCTTGTCTCAGATGTAGCCTTCGGCCGCGGGCTGGCCGCTCGCACCTCAGCCCTCACAGGAACGGGCCCGGCCAGAGCGAGAGACCAGTCCTCGCGGCCCAAAGGGGATCACGGCGAACAGTCGCGATATTGTGATGCTGAGCGGCTTAGCGAGGAGCACCAGTTGATGCTCCACCTCTCGATCGCATTCTCTTGCCCCCGCCCCTTCCTCACCCCACATCCGTTCCCAGACCCCCTCGCGCTGCGAAAAAATCACGATGGGAGGTCTTTTCGCCATCTTCAGCTTCCGGGGGCCCTCACTGGGCCCCAGGACCGTCAAATTAACGTTTCCGGACGAGAAGCCGGTCCCGGGAAGGGGTCCAGACCTCTGGGGGTCGACGCTGTGAAAAAGTCAAGACGTCGGGGGTTGGGCTGGAGGTTCTGACGAATCGGGGCTCCTACGGGGTGGCATCCCAGGCTGGGGAAGCGAACTTGCCTCGGACATTTTTGAATCGTTCTCCTCCAGTCAGAAAATTGTGCAGAAATAGCAGAAAACTATGTTTTTAATCGTTCTCCCCCATTTTTTATTAATGGTCATCCCGCATTACAAACAATGTGAATCGTTGACCGTACATTGCCGCGCGGTTCCCCTCAGGGAATAAGCGGGCCGCAAAAGGGGTTCGCACGCCTGCCAGCTGCACAAACTGAGCGCCGGGGGCCCCTGGCGTGACCGCGCAGGAGTGGCCCGAGCCCCGTCATGCAGGGCGCAAGAGGGGAGGCCCCCTCCCCCGCTCGGGAGCGGAAAAGAGGGGGGTGATGACTAGGGTGGGAGGGGATTTCACGGCGCGGGCCATGACTTTTCCTCAGATTTCATGGCGCCTCTTCTTATTTCATTACGTCCCAGGCCCCCCCGCTGGGCCGCGCACATGCCGCCGGTCATGATTTGCACCCCCCCCTCTTGGACACCCCCCTCTTGGCCGCTCCCGACCCGCGTGAAGAGCATCCGCACGAGATGCCGTTGCCTGGCATGCCGGCTACGGTGGGGGCGCTGGTCCAGGAATGTGCTCAGAGGGTTTTGTGGCCTTGGAGGATTCCTCATCTGATGAGGGCGGCGGCGATATCCATGGCCAAGCCTCAATTCGAAGAAGAAAGCACCATAAACATAGACTGTTGGCGCTCCGCGCGGATTACTTGGATCCGCACTGGGCTCCCAGGCGGAGCCTCCGGCGCCGACCCTGGCGCGCTCCGCGCGCCAGGGAGGGGGGTCCAGCGCAGAAGTAAGAAATCCGTACGGAGCGCCGAAAGTTTATGTTTATAGCGCTTTGTTTTCTTCTATCACTTATAGCTGACACCGGCACCCAGGTCCTGGATTCATGATCCACTGATTCCCTATCCACCAGGAGAAGAAAAACACACAGACATAATTGATCGGCGACTCCCACGAAAATATCGAAAAATATGGGGAGTGGGGGGGGGGGGAAGACGAAAAAAACCCAGAAACTATAGCAAAACAACGGGAATCCTTGGATTTGTGCCTATTTCTCTGCATCTCCCTGGGCCTCTTGAATCCAAGCCCTCACCGTATGCATGCGGGGTCAGCCCCCTGCCGCGCGGGAGAACGCCCGAGGGATGAAGACTGCAGTCGGGCACGTCCCTCAAAGATAGTAGCAAAAATAGTCTGGGGACAATGTTTGGAGTATGTTTGAACACGTGCTTGGTATTGGTTTGGCTATGTTTATTTGCTCGTCCAAAATCCGCCTGTAGGAGGACGTGCCCGACCTAGATGAAGGCCCCAGTGCCGGGAGCGGCGGGCGCTGCCCTGCTCGCGCCTTCTTCCCCCCCCCCCCGCCCTGGGCGACGCGGTCGGGACGCGCCTGCGGGGTGGGAGGTGGCGCGGGGAGCGCGAAGGAGGGGCGAAGCAGGGATGGGGGCGCGAGGATGCCACGCTTCGGGCG